TTATACTTCTCATTGTCTGTATGTAAATTGGACTAAACAATAACGATATGTATAGTTTTATACGTACCCACACATATATATATCTGTAAATATGTGTTAAGGAATGAACGTTCAAAATCGGCATGTGGTGAACCGATGAAATTGAAGGAAGATGAACTGGCAATGCCTGTGTGTTCAATAGCAGCAAAACAGCAAAGATTTGTGGGGCAGAAAAGCCGCTTACCAAGATCAAAACCCGTCGCCTCATATGCAAACAACGACAGCAGCCGGGTTTGTTTTTCATTAATCCAGTCAGTTATTTTTATCGGTTTCCGTTAACTTCTTCATCTGACCATTTTTCTTGGTAATACCATTAAATATGTGATGTGTAATCAACCGTGGTTAAATGAATGCTTTGCAGTGGTTGTGTTAGTGGTGGTAGTGGTGCTGCTGCTACTGGTGGTGATAGTAGTTGAAAAAAAGCACCTTTTTTTTTTGCAAGTAATAACAGTTAAGCTAATATTCTTAAATATTTAGAAGAGGCAAAATGAATTGTTGAGTGAAAAGAGAAAAGGATGGATGAAAAAGTACTTATAGAACTGATAATAAAGCTGGAGAAAAAAAGAGGGATTGGTTGTTGTTGTTGTTGTTATTGTTGTTTTTTGTCCTAAAAAGATTTTTGGAGCAAATTTAATAAAGAATCAAAGTAAGGAAAAAAGAAGCAAAAAAATTGAACCATAATTCTATTACCCTACTCCTTATTTCATTTTTACATTCCTTTTATTTCTGCTTCCCTTTCTTACTTAGCAGCAGCAACGGCAGCAATAATCAAATCCTATCCAACAACTGCAAAGTTCAATTTACGTAAAGTTTTTTTTTTTTGCAGTTATGCTGTTAACATTTGTCATCATTACTATCACTTTGTAAACCCGTTTTTTTTTTTTTCACATATTTATTTGTTGAAAAAGAAAGAAAGCTTTTTTTTTTTAGGATTTTTCAGTAAAAACGGAGTTTGGGAAGAGGAATTCAAAGCTTCACCAAATATTTTTGAAGAAAAAGTGAAAAATATCTTATTTTTTACCGTTACATTTTTCTTTTTCTGTTTTAGAGAATCACTGTTGAAAGATTAGCAGCAGACCCAAAACCATCGACTAGTCATGAGGTAGAAAGAAGTCGACTAAGACCAAATACAGGTAAGCAAAGAACGGAAAATAAAAATTTCTGTTTTTTTTTTTTTTTATTGTCATCGTACATTTCTGAGGCAATTGTTTTGTGCGCTAATTTAAGCAATTATCTGAAAAAAAAATGAAATAAAAACAATAAAATGAACATAGGTTTTGTGGTGCGGTAAAAAAAAAAAAAAAAAAA